CAAAAACTTACTCATTCGGAACGCTCGGCATCAAAACTATGGTAATACGATATCCACCTTCTCAGCATACAAGCCAATCAATAAGAAGAACCCTCTCTTAACGCTCAACCCGTTCTTAGACAAAGCAGGGGTGTTACAAGTGAATGGACATCTCAGTTACGCTGGCCTTAGCTATAATGAGCGCCATCCGGTCATCATCCCGAGCGACTCAAGACTCTGTACTCTCATTCTCGCCTTCCTACACTCGACGTTACTTCATGCCGAAAAGCAATTGATAATTTGCATGATCCACCAATAATACTATATCTCCCGTTTGAAGCAGAAAATAAAAACCTGCATTTTTCATTGTAAACCTTACACCCTCTATAAACAAAACACGAAGTCACAAATGATGGCAGCACTAACCCCCGAGCGCAAAACCTATTCACTTCTATTTCAAACCACTGGCGTTGAATTCGCTGGACCCTTTCTGGTAAAAACGTCAACTCTCCGAACAGCATCATACTCAAAGGCTTATGCTTGCGTTCTTGTATGTTTTGTCGCAAAGGCCATACACCTTGAACTCTGCTCAGATTTAAGTACCGAAGCGTTCAAAGCCGCATTTGCTCGTTTCGTCGGCAGACGCGGTATACCATGCAAAATGATACCAACTTAATACCCGTTAATTTAATTTTGATTACTAAAGGAACATATCTTCTGATAGCTCATTTTGGCCACCGGGGGTTGTAGTACGTGATTGAGCATAAAATTCTTAGGAAAAATTATAGGAATATTGCTCAAATTGATCCACTAAATGTGGAAGGAAAAAACTAATAAAAAATCGCTCGCTGAGTATGTTTTACCAAAACGTTAAATGCCTACAAAACAAGCTGATCTGTACTTATGCAGTCTTCATAGCAACTTCGACATAATATCATTTACCGAAACCGGGCTAATACCTCACGTATTTAATTATGAGATATTATGCAATGAGCATTAAATTATTAGATAGGATTGCCTGAACATAATCGGCGGGGGAGCTCTACTTGCGGTTCCTTCTTCTACATATATCCGTCATCCGTTCATCCGTGTTTGTACTTCTTCGAACTTTATTTCTATAGCATTAACTATTTCTCCACTGTCGGATTTGCCCTTATACCTTGAGGTTATTGAGTCCTTTAAAATAACTGTTTCAATGATGAAAAATTACGATAGCCTTAGGTGATTTTAATTTGACTTGCGTCTCGTGCAACTTCGTCCAAGTTTGTACTCGACCATGATTTATCCGAACTATGCCTTAACATATTATTCTGGCACCGACTAATCTTATTAAAATGTTAGATCAAAATTTTCTGAGACTCGATGCGACCCTTTTTGTTCTTCTGGAGAATATTTATCATCCTGGTTTGGATGAGAGTTAATACTATGTCATCTCCACCTGGCTACCGTTTCAACTTCGCGAAAACTTGTTTAAAAAAACTAAATAAAGCTATCAAAAATTATATGGTAATATTGAAATAAATGTTCTTCAATTTGATAAAACAAATTTTAAACTATTTGAAAATATTGTACTAAGGCTACACAAAATACATAAAATTTCATAATAAATCGAATATGTTTGCTCAGCTTTTCAAATCCTCTTAGTCGATTAAGTAAGCTATCACATAGGGGTTAGTGGATGCAACAAACCCAGACATACAGCACACCCACGCAGGAGGGCACAAAGGCAAGGTAAAACGTGTGGCATGCGCAGACGATAGAGAGGCATCGCTGAGGTCGGGTTGCCGTGCATAGGGACGAGATCCCTAGCAGGCCATGATCCTTGGCTTGGCTGCCAACGGAGCCCTCCGCTCCTAAGGATATTCTGAAACTCATCCAACTCAGCAATGAGAAGCTACCCACCACTGAGCCCAAGCTGGGCCAGTCAAGTAGAAGCAACGCTTTGTGAGATTTGTCATAAGCGATGCTTCCCTCCCAACTCTCGCTGTCATCGGGGGAGTTATAAGCTCCGTCTTCTACTCCATCACGTTTAAAGTCAAAAACAAGGGTGAAAACCAAGCTAGCATGTCTCCTAACCCAACAGCTCTTTGCCTTGAGCGATTCAGGGGAGGAAACCGCCTAAGAGGAGAGGAAAAATGTGTGGCACTTACCGGAGCCACCATGGGGGTGTCTGGCGACCCGGAGGAGGAGATCCGTACCGAGTCGGATGCTAAAAGCGAAACGCTCTCGGTATCCGAGTACGTTGGGATGGCTCGGCTACCATCCGCTGGGAAAATATGGAGGATAATAACACTACTGTCAACAACCTGCCCGATGCAGAGGAGGCCAGTTCCATAGACCTCACAACTTCTCAGTATGGCGCATTTACTCCAAATTAATCTGCACCGCTCCAAAACAGCATTCGGTCTGCGCCCCGGCGAATCAGAGGACTTAGTTCTGGTCCAGGGTGACACAATATGTGGACTGAATTCCAAAACCTATCAAACGGTATCATCAAGAAAAGTTTGGTCCTGGGCCTGTATTTTGGTTAAGAGAAACTTTTCTCTCAATACAACGACGCGGACACGGTCAGCATTGTGGTAAAAATGGGAGAGAAGCCGCACGATTTTGGGATCCAACGATAGAAATATTCGAGGGAAGTCCCTACTTGATTTTATTTTAGAAAACGAGTTAGAAATCGTGTAACTGTGGAAACAAACCCACTTTCGAAACTTCCTTTAGAAAGGAGGTTCTTTATATCACTTTAGTTTGACACTCACTTTCTGACCAGATCAGAAACTGGTCATAGTTAATGCCTCCCTTCCCTGACCATCTACATATATATTTTAGACTCACCATGAGAACTCTATTGAACAGAAAAAATAACTAACTGGATGATGTTCGGGAAAGTCCGGACTGCATCCCTGTACGCTTCTCGCGAAAAGTTTGCTTATCGTTAAGACTTGATGAAGCGGGGACCTAGCAAAAGGTCTGTTTCTCTTGAAGAGCTTGATTTACGGTCGAAAATTGACGAAGCAATGGACTTTGTAACACAAGTCTGTAACGCTGCTTTTGAGGCCTCACGCACTTTATCTATCCCATCGGGGAAGCAAAGACCCAAATGGTGAAATAATCAAATCTCTGATCTATGGTCTGAGGAAAAGAAGCAGAAAAGGGCTCCTGGCAATCTTATCAAACTTGCTTGAAATCCAACCATGTCAATCCAAACAATTTCCGACCAATCAATCTTACCTCTTTTTCCTAAAACTCTTGGAAAAGCTTCTGGACAACTATATACACCAGAATTTTCCCCAAAACAGCCTCTCGGGGAAGCAACATGCTTACTCGAAGGGTAGGTATGTTGATACAGCCCTGCATGATATAGTCGAAAGCACCGAAAAAGGACTTGCCGTGAAAGAGTACACACTAGGCATTTTCCTCGATATCGAGGGCGCTTTAATTAACAGCAACGCTCCCGAGCAGAGAGTAATAGCAAACGGCTCCCAGCAGGAGCATGAGAATACCAGATCATTGCAGCGTTTTCAGGGCGGAGCAGTGATTGCACAAATCTACGGCAGAAAGACAATCCGTTACAATTTACTCCGTTACTTAGAGTGCAATCTGATCTCTTGATTGTAACGGTACCACGTCAAAAGAGGCCATAAACTGTAGAAACACTCTCTAGAAACTCTCAACGAAGTGGTCTGGGTACCTGGACGCAGAGACATCCCAGGCCAGTGCATGGCAGACGAGCTCGCAAGAGAAGGAACACTTCTATCAACGATAAAACTTTCATATGATGCTGGTTTACCTCTGTCCACGGCTAAGTACATCCTTAAACTGGCAATCACCAGGAAAGCTGACTGAGATCACGTGTTGGACGCGAAAATTTAAATAAAGTTAAACATCTTATTGTTCTGGACGGGTTCTCCATTAACATAACGACTGGTATAATAACTGGACACTGATTAATGGGGCTTTACGGGAATAGGATGGACTTTTACTGTAACGATTTCTGCCGCGGCAGTAGGGACGAAAAAGAAGAGCACTCTCTATCAGTGTCCAGCCTAGACATCCGCGCCATGTAAGTGTACTAGTGTTGACTAGGAGCCGCATCAACTGAACTCAAATCAGTAGTAATTTTACCCGCGAACTTCAATTAACATCCCAGCTGTTTCTCCCGAATATGTGTTATGTCAGTTGAAAGTTTTAAAGATATCATTTAGTTATGGGTCTGGCATGATTCCAACACGCTTTCTTAAATATTGCGCTGAAAATCTGTACCAACCTTTATCGAACCTCTTTAATGCATCCATAAAACAAGGTATTTTCCCTTGTTATGCTAGAGCTCGTATGTAATTCCTTTTCATGAGAACGGCAGCAGATCTTCGATTGAAAAAGTCGCAACGATATCCTCTTTACCAAATTCCAATTCCCAGCATCGGTTTTGTAAAGTAAAATCTACCGTAACTAAAGGGTTTTTGGCAAAACATGATCACTGACGTTATATATACAGACATTAGTAAATTATTCGATAGAGTAAATCATCTCATACTTGTTGATAAGCTAGATGTTTCTTTCGAGAATTATTGGGGCCGAAATTCCTCGTGAATTCCGGTAACGGGGATGGGGGAAGTGTCGTTCCTTGAAAGCTGAAAATTAAAATTCCTACTTTCTACATCAAGTGGCTCAACAATTAAAAAAACCAAGTGAATTTATATAATGGGCTCAAAATTATATATATTTTAAAATGTGAAGGTACTCACCGGAGATGTTGCTGCGTTCAAAGCTGAAATCAAAAAGTGGACGTTAGACCGGCAACTACGGCCTTTTAAAGATTCCACAGAAGGTGAAAATCCAAAACGGACATAACTGCAACTTTCCCATAAATAAGTCGAGTCATGTATACTGGTTATACTTGTTTTGAACGCACCGACATCTCTTGGTGGAAATGATGACTGCACAGGGTTACACACATAAACATGCCGCCCGCCTTGCAGCATCACTGCAACAGAAATATTCAAATGGCTAGATAAATACAATTTTTTTTTTTGTAAAGATTCAAACTATAATTCATAATTCATTGGTTACAATTCATCAACAAAATTAATCTCATTTCAATTGGCTTAGCACTAAAAACGATTGTTTCCTACGCCTCAATATGGTGTACTGCCGGATATCACCCATCCAAACAGCGTGTTCTGTGCGGCTGGCCTGGTTGGCGTTGCAGGCATTAATCCTGGTCTTAAGATTGCTTCGTAGATATCAGCACCTAAAATAAAAGATACCGTACTTCTCCGATAGAAGGACGGGTCGGCCAATCTCAGGTTGTCGAATTCGTCGACAACTCTGGCGTCCAGCGTGCGTTCTGGCGTCGGTTTGATGAGGCTGGGCAGCACTCTTGCCCTGATGTGCACGCTTTCGCGCCAGCCCTTCAAGGTAAGCGTTACTCGATCGCTGTGATCTCTTGATGACACCTGAAGTCGTCTGGCTAGAGCCTTTGAAATACAGGATGCTGGTTGCCCAGGATCGATAAGAGCACGGACCCTTTGCGTCCGCCCGTTCGTTGCCACTCTCACCATTACTGTCGGCGTGAGGACAGTTCCGTTTGTTCTCCGAACGGGGGTTTTAATTTGCTCCCGTGCGTCTCTCACCCTTTGGCGCCGTCGTGGTTGTTTGTTACGACTTCGCTGTTGTCGCTGCCGTTGTTTATTAGAGGGCTGGATTGGCCGCTGAATTACTGACCGCACACTCGACAGCAGCGGCTCATTGTGACTGGGAGCTGGTTCTATTATTTCTACCAGATCTTCGCTGCTGGCATCTATTTCTAACACTTCTTCATCGCTGGAGTCAGTCAACGGCTGCGTTCGATATGGACAGTGTTGTCTCCTGTGCTGACCGTCTGCCGCACCCTAGCTGAAAGGCACGTCTTCCTCCATTTCCCGCAGGTGGAGGAGACTGTGGTGCCGTTCGTGGCATCGGTCACATGTCCTTGTCGACGGACATCTGCTGGCCATGTAATGCGGCGACAGGCAGTTGGCACAGTGACGGTAAAGGAGGACAGCTCGGAGTCTCTCCGTTGCGCATCCGGCGCATCTGTCTGCAAAATAGAAGCCGATGGTTGTTCTTGTAGACTGGACATCGGTGTTGGTCCTTCGGGGTATTGACGTGGTTGACTGGAACCATTTCGTAATTCTCTGAAAGTAGAAGATACATTAGTTGGTTTTACTGCCGGAAGCATTACTAGTTTAACAATTGGTCTTGTTATAAGACCCCGTGTGGTAAGTATTTCTACTACTCGAACGCGGTGATCTGGTCCTAAAAAAACCCTAACTACTCTGCCAAGTCGCCACTCGTTTGGGGGGAGATTGTCCTCTTTGACTACCACCAAATCGTCGACTTCTATATTTCGTTGAGGGTGCTGCCATTTGACTCTCTTGTGTAACTCCTTGAGATATTCTGCTTTCCATTGTTGGCAGAATCCTTGATGGAGTGCCTTCAGCTTTTGCCAGCGGTTGAAGATCGACATCGCGTTTCCATTGGTCTCGGGTTCAGCTATTCCGAGTAGCGGGCTTCCAATTAAAAATGGCCTGGGGTTAGGGGTTCCATTGATTCAGGGTTCTCTGACATCGGACTAACTTGCCTTGAGTTCAGACATGCTTCAATTTTGGCGAGTAATGTGGCGAGTTTTTCCATCGTGAATCGCATCGCTTTTGCTACTTTCCTGAAATTGATTTTGAAGCTCTTTACCCCCGCCTCCCACAGCCCTGCCATATGAGGTGCTCCGGGAGGTATGAAGTGCCAACTTATTTCTTGATGAGCATATTACTGATTGATAAGTCGGACTGCTTCTGACAAAAACTGTTTAAATTCCTGCTTTAGGGTTTTACTCGCGCCTACGAAGTTTGTTCCGTTGTCTGAGTACATGTTGCGAGGACAGCCACGTCTGGCCTCAAATCTTGAGAATGCTGCCAGAAATGTGGTGGCCGACAGATCGCTGGTTGCCTCTAGATGTATTGCCTTTGTTGCAAAGCACACAAATACGCAGACATATCCTTTGTAATCAAACATGCTCGACCAGTGTAGTTCTTAATGTCGAACGGTCCTGTGAAGTCTACGCCGGTATTGGTAAATGGCCTAGACAAGGTTGTTCGTTCAGGTGGTAGTGCTGCCATCAGTTGCTCTCTTGTCCGTTTTCTGAAAATAAGACAAACTTTGCAATTATTGATAACAGTTTTGATCAGTCCCTTTATCATAACGACCCAATATTCTGACCTCACTAGCCTCAGCATTAGCTGATTTCCACCATGTAGTGAAATCAAATGTGAAAACTTGACAAGGAGGCTCGAAAATTGGCAATCGTAAGGTAAAATAATGGGATAGCGTTCATTGTAGGCCAGTGATGCCATGGCAAGTCTACCACCTACTCTCATGATTCCATTCCTGTCTAGGAATGGGTTGAGAGTGCGGATAGAGCTCTTGGTGCTCACTGGCTTTGACGCTGCAAGTGCGATGTATTCCTCATGATAACACCGCTTTTGTGTCTGAAGAATTAAACGTAATTTTGCTTCATTAATTGCCTTTAGCGTTATCTCCGGATTTTTATCTGGGGCTGTCAGCTTAATCACTGGGTGAATTTTGTTGTAAAATTTAAAAATTCTGGAAACTACCCTTAAAGCGCGAGAAAAATCGGAAAACCTTTGCAAGATGTCTTCTGTATGTATATCCCGCGCTGTGTGAGTTCTCACAATCTTTTGCTCCAATTCTGTGTCAATTATGTCATCTCTTTTTTGTGGCCATTCAGACGGATGTCGTTTCAACCAAACCGGGCCGTTCCACCAGATGTTGCTCACAGCTAGCTCCTGAGGAGATACGCCTCGACCGCCCAGATCGGCAGGATTGTCAATAGAATCCACATGATTCCATCCAGTGACTCCAACGAGTTCCACTCCAACGGGGCTTCCGCAGCCATGACAGAACGATGGTAGAATCTGTCCATTTATAGACAACTGGTTGTGCAACGTCGAGCTATGGGAGTAAGGCATTAATTAATTCTGCTAGCAGTAGCGCACCACATAACTCTAAACGCGGTAGGGGTATTGTTTGCACTGGTGCTACTCTGGTTTTACCTACTAACAAGTGTATCTCTGGAGATCTATCTAATGTGCGATCACGCACTCTCACATATAAAGCTGCTGCATATGCCTTTTCGGAGGCATCACAGAAACCATGAAATTCAATTTCATTCCACGGCGTGAAACTAATCCACCTTGGAGTTCTAATCTTCGAGATGTGCGTGTAGTTTTTGAGGAAGCTCTCCCACCGTAGGTAAATTCCTCTTGGTAGACTGTCATCCCAGTCAATCTTGGTGAGCCATATATCCTGCATTAGTATTTTTGCCTCCACCACGATGGGCTCCAACCAGCCGCCGGGTCGAACAATCTCGCAACACAGGATAGCATTTCACGCTTCGTGTTACTTGGCTTTATCTCTATGTCTTGAACGTTGAAATGAAAACTGTCACGGGGTGCATTCCATCGAATGCCTAACATTCTTGTTTACTCAAGTTGTCAATTTCTAAAAAATTCTCCTTCAATAAATGGTCCTTGGGTAAGTCAGCTAAAATTTCCTTAGTGTTTGAAGTCTATTTCCGCAAGGGGAAACCATCTCCCTTCAATGCTTCTAAAAGTTCGTTCCTAGTGCGAATGGCTGTTTCACAATCATGAGCTCCAGCCAGGACATCGTCGACATACATGTGCTGCTTCAGGATTCTTGAGGCTAGTGGATATTTCAAACTAACATCTTCCGCCAGTTGAAGTAGAGTCCTTATTGCTAGGTATGGGGCGCAATTGACTCCAAAGGTTACGGTTTGAAGCTCATAATCCATGAGTTTATCCTCATCTGACTCCCTAAAAATGATCCTGTGGAACTTCGTGTCAGCCGCCTGTAATAAAACTTGTCGGTACATCTTCTTGATGTCTGCATTAAAAACATATTTGAAAAAACGCCATTTTAGTAACAAGGCGATAAGATCGGCTTGCAACACAGGACCTGCATAGAGCACATCATTTAAACTTCCACCATTTGATGGACTCGATGCATTGAACACCACGCGGCCTTTTGTAGTGGTGCTGTCAGGTTTGATGACTGCATGATGTGGTAGGTAATAACATCCCATACTACCTTCGATGTGACTAGCCACCGGCTTCATGTGGCCGAGCGATATGTATTCTCGCAACACACGATGATATTCCACCTTCAGCTCTGGTATTTGTGCCAATGCTGCTTCACTGCGGAGAAATTGTTGCACTGCACTGTTTCGAGAATATCCAAGATTAACGTCCTCAGGGAAGTTCTGCTTGAATGGTAATGCTACCACATATCTCCCATTATTTTCCTTCGTTGTCGCATTTGTATAGAGATGTTCACACAATGTTTCCTCAGGTGTAATTGGTTTCTTGCTTGGAACTTGCTCGAGCTCCCAAAATCTAGTGAGATCAGAGCTTGTAACTTCAGTATGCAAGAAAACATATGGCCTTTGCCATTTTTTCGGGGATTTCGGGGCTGGTCCCGTCAGGATCCATCCAAAAACTGTCTCCTGCGCGAGGAGAGAGCCTAAAACATTACGTTGAATATTTCCCATCATAATCGCTGGGTACAGGTCTGCACCAATCACCAAATCAACCTGCTGACTTTTATAAAAGTTGGCATCCGCTAAATTGATCGGGGGCAGTAGGCTCAAATCCACTTGGTCTACCCTAAGCAGGGGAAGGTTCCCTGTGAGTTGGGGGAGAATCAGGCCTCTTGCCTCAATCCTAATTTCGGGGTTAACAGGAGAACCTATAACCAAACGTGCGGCTCCTCGTACGTTAGCTGGTGTCGTTGCATTAATGCCACTTATCTGAAAGTCCACAGGTTGAGTTGGTATCTTGATGCGCCTTTGCAGCCGCTTCGTAATGAACGTGCCCTCTGAGCCCTTGCTTCATAATTCACTTCATTGTAGCATATGTGTACCATCGCTGTGCCCAAGATAATGTTCTTTGTATTTGTTACGAACAGTGCGTGAATGGTACCGGAAGTAGTTGGAGATTGTGTACTCTTATTCCCACTGCTATCGAGTTGAAAACGACTGGTGGTCGATGGCTTGTTTCCTGTTGGAGTTCTGTGTAGCAATGAATGATGCCGCTGGTGACAACTGAAACAGCTAAAGGAACTCTTGCAATCGCGAGCAATATGTGAATGTGCTAAGCAGTTCATGCACAAGTTGTACTTCCTTACTATCTTAGTCCGGTCATCCACTTTCATGGCTAAAAATTTTGAACAGGCCTTTAGCGCATGCGATGAATCTGGGCATAATATACAAACAGGCTGGGAAAATTGAATATGGTGACTAGACAACTTTTTCCCATATGATGTTACAGAGGCCCTATTTTGTCCTACTTTAGATACTCGCGTACTTTGAATATCTGATACTGTTTCTAGAGTCTGGAATCTACTTGAGAGAAAACAATCTAGTTCCTCCTACCTCGGAATTTCGGCCTTGTCCACTATTCCTCGTTCCCAAACTGTTAAGGTGGTATCCGGAAGCCTGCTAGAAACTAAGAATACAAAAATAGCATCACAATTGCGGATCTCAATCCCTTACATTTGAAGGACTGAGATGCAATTGTTTACCGCTCGTTGCAAGTTTTTAATTTCCGCTCCGCGCTCTACTGTCACTGTGGGCAAGTTAAAAAGTGTCTTTAATTGACTATTTACCATTACACTCTTATTTTCGTAACGGTCAGATAAGTTTTGCCACGCAGTTGCGAAACCGTCATTAGTTAATGGAGATTTCCTGACGATATCCTTGGCTTCTCCTCGAGTCTTCTGATTAAGGTGGTATAATTTTTCAACTGCGGTCAAGCGGGAATTATTAATATATATTGCTGTAAATAAGTCCCGAAAAGATGGCCATGCCATGTAGTCACCGAAAAATATTTCAGTGTCGCAAGGGGGTAGATTAATACTCGAACGTGGAGCCGATTCAGGTTCTCGGACTGGAGGATTCACCGTTGTCGAGCTCTGCTGCACAAATGTCAGGTTGTGGATAGTTTCACCCATCAATGCCGCGCACGTCAGGTATGCTGCGTAGCAATCCTGGTACCTACACTTTGCAGCAAGCATAGCCGATGTATCCGATTCCCCTCCTGATAGGTTTCGCGAATGTCCGTCAAACGTTTCCTTGTCTTTTATTCATAAAGCCTTAAGTTCTTCTTTCTGGATTTCTAGAGAGAAGACCGAATGATTTGCACTTGGAGTGTTGTTATACAACTCTTCAAACTCTAAAAGTGCATCACAGGCGCTTGCCATTTTACTGGTAATTTAGCTGATGGAAAGCAAAGGCCTAAATTTAAAAATTGTAAAATGAACAAAGTATTTAGTCTAACCCAATTCAACAAATCGCAGGGTTGGTAAAGTTGGCAGGTGAATCTTCCGTATCAAGACAACACGTAGCTTAAACCGCAAAAATTCGATAAAATTAGTGAAAGTAGGAGTGCCTGAGATACTTCCGTAGTACTAAGGCACAGGCCGTACTTTTAATTTGTAAACAAGGAGAAAAATTTAGTTGTCAAAGCAGGTAAGAAACCGAGTAAGGCAAATTAAAATTGTCCGCAATAATAAATTGTACTGGAATATAGAAAATCAAACATGGGTATGCCTCGGATGCTTCCGCTTCCCAATTTACATACGTATTTAAGAGTTGTAAATATATACAATAAATAAAATGAGTTGTCAAGGCAGTTAAGTATGGTGTTTTCGCAGTACCCGACTATAATGATAAGGCAATAAGAAATTGTATAACTCACCCGTAACGATGATTTTTTTTATTTTTTTTTCTTACTGTTCGCTGGGCCGTTGGTTTGGGCCTTGCTGCTCTGTTGGGCCGTTGGTTTGGGCCTTGCTGCTCTGTTGAGCCGTTGGTTTGGGCCTTGCTGCTACGTTGGGTCGTTGGTTTGGGCCTTGTTGCTTAATCGCGCTGCCGCCTGATCCTTTGGCATCTAATTGCCGGCGAACAGCACTTGCGCTTTGTCTCGTGGCTTATTTGCCGGCGCTCTATTCTTAAAATATAAACGTAATCTATTGCGCACTGACGCCTTGCCGCCACACTGACGCCTGCGTGCAGTACTCGCGCCTTACCTTATGGCTCTGCTGCTGGCGCTCCTAGCTGTTTGGTGGGGCTGCGCTTTGCCTGTTGCTTTTTTGAAGTCTGCGCCCCCACTTTTCCTCACTATTATTTGGTGGGGCGCTTTGCCTAATGGCTTTTCTGAAGCCTGCACCCTCTCATTAAATCACACTCACTTTATAGTGGGGCGCTTAGTCTGTGGCTAATTTTAAGCCTGCGCGCCCACTTTTTTCCATTCACTTTTTTCACTTTATAGTGCTGGCGTCTAGTGCCCTTTTTGGGTTTTTTGCCTAGCACTTTCTTTCACTTTTTAGTGGGGCGCTTTATCTATGGCCAGTTTCAAGCCTGCGCACCCACTTTTCACTCACTTTATAGTCGAGCTCTTTGCCTGTGGCTAATTTTAAGCCTGAGCGCCCACTTTCACTCACTTTATAGTGGAGCTCTTTGCCTGTGGCTAATTTTAAGCCTGAGCGCCCACTTTTCACTCACTTTATAGTGGGGCACTTTGATTGTGGCTATTTTTTAGCCTGCGCGCCCACTTTCACTAACACTCACTTTCCTGCTATGGGGCCAAGAAATATAAATATTGAGATGTAATTTTTGTCAGATCACTTACCTAAATCCTTGGGATTTACCTTTTTTCTCGCAACTCCTCCTGGTTGCTGGATGTCAAACGATTATTTCGGGTCCTACTTCTGCTGCTGTTGTCAAAAGAAAATAACTTTTTCCGGAAATGGTCGCTGTTCACATTCCCAACCGTTCCAATTAGGTTGTTCCTTTCCGAATCACTCCAATGGAAATTGAGCAGAGTTGTGTTTTTTCCCTTCTCTTTGGTAATAGATTTAGCGACTTGGCAAGAGTAGCAGAGATGATTTAATCTTTTTGATTATTCTTTAGAGAACATAATATTTCCACTACAGAATATTCAAAAGAGATTTTTTTTTCGTAAGAAATAAAAAAATAAATATTAATTTAGCTTCCTTTTTTTGGATCCGGCTCGAAGGACCATGTTTCTTTCGAGAATTATTGGTGCCGTTTCTTGAAAGCTGAAAATTAAAATATCCTACTTTTTACGCCAAGTGGCTAAACAATTAAAAAACCAAGTGAATTTATATAATGGGCTCAAAATTATATTTATTTTAAAATGTGAAGGTACTCACCGGATGTTGCTGCGTTCAAAGCTGAAATCAAAAAGAGGACGTTAGACCGGCAACTACGGCCTTTTAAAGATTCCACAGAAGGTGGAAATCCAAAACGGACATAACTGCATCTTTCCCATAAATAAGTCGAGTCATGTATACTGGTTATACTTGTTTTGAATGCAGCGACATCTCTTGGTGGAAATGATGACTGCACAGGGTTACACACATAAGCATTAGATTTTCTTGGATTTCAGCGTAATCCAAGTGGATATCATCCTATCTCTGTAACAGAACGAAAATAATTATATTTAAATATTCCATCTCGGACATAATTGAGGTTTCCTCAGGCGTTCCGCAAGGCAGCTACATGGGTCCGATTCTATTCTTGATATTTATTAATGATTTGTGTTTAGTCATAAAATACTCAAATATTTTATTGTACGAACATGATTTAAAGCTTTTTAACTCATATAGCTCAATTATCAAAAGGGGTTATTTAAATTTAATTTAAATAATTTAGTATGACGTTGACTACACTCCGCTCCGTATGGTTTAAAATTCAACTTCGCAAGTGTTTGTTTCCCACGTGCTTAGATAGTTTCATTTTATTTCTTAATATACTAGCCTCGGAGAACAGGTTTAGCATAGTCTCAGAAAGTATCCTATAACCTCTAAATAAAAACGAAAAAAAGAAACAAAAGTGTCAAAAGAAACAAGAGAGTCACAGCTTATTTGATACAGCTTGATTCATTCTAAAATAACATAAACAAATTACTTTCAATCTTAAGGGTTTGAAATTATTAACTGGAATAAAGTGACGCAGCCTATGTTTAAAGTGTTTTCAATGTCAAGTTCAGTTTAACTTAGCACAAGAAAACCAAACTGCATCCAATTTACGATTTAAAATATCTTTTACACCGAAGGAACACGTTTGAAGACCCCCTTAAGCGATATTGTCCTGTACAATGCACAAACTGTCAGGAAATTGGTCACACAAAATCCTACTGTACTATACGTACCATCTGCATAGCATTTGGTGATCTCGACCATTCTACCATGTGCCCCTTGCATAAAACGGATGTAGCACAAAAAAGTGCAGCAACCGAGGTAGTAATCATACCGCTAATTATAGAGGTTGTCCGCTTTACAAAGACTTAAAATCTAAACTCACTCAAGGTATAAAAGCCAAACGGATGCTGCTTCCGCATATTACTTCCATTCCGGTCTTTTCTAACATACCCAGCTTTGCGTAATGAAAATATACACAGAGATCTAAATATACACACAATCAAGGAAGAGATTGAAAACGTCACACAACGGTACAATCAAACGCGCCTGAAGAGAAGGGACTTGCCGCAAAAATCTTAAATTATTTTATTCTGTGTAAAATCCTTTTGACTTGACAAGAGCCTGGATCCTGTCATATGTTAAGCATAAAGTGTTGTGTCTGAGCTAACTTTCTGCCATACCTCCAGTGGCGCCCTTCTTAATGCCTCTTTGTTCGAAATTTTTTAGCTTTAAGGCAAAAGTTTTGAAGATTTGACAAAAAAATTAAGCCTAAAGCTTCTACTGTCATGGTGTGGAGAGGTATCAAAACCCTCACTGAAACATACACACCCACTTCTATCCCATCTATAACGAAAAAAATTCAGGTATTGTCACATTTAAAATACTGTCATCCAATATACCAAACATGCACTCCACTGAGAACACAGATAGATTAACGTTACGCATCGAAAACGCTATCAATTACAAAGAACTTCACTCTGCCTTGAAAACAGCAAATGGCACCACTCCTGGATTCGGCAAAATAAATTACGAAATGTTAAGGAAAGTCCCTACACAAATAAAACACAAGATTTTGAAACTTTATAATGAAATGTTGGATACAGGCATAATTCCACAAGATTTTAAGACAGCTGCAACCAGTCCCACATTTAAACCTCAAAAGGACCACAGTCATATGATGAGTAAAGTCATAGAGAAAATTATATCCACAAGACTTATGTGATTTTTAAGAGCCAATAAACTACTGTGGAGGTCAAGGCCACATATGTAAGAACTTAGCAACAAAAAAACATATTTAAATTTTTTCCATTTACTTTGACAAGGCGATCGATTAAAAAGAAAATCACAACATTTTGAAAAAACTTCTGAAGGGGCGAATCGGGAGAAAGATATTTAACTACGTCAATAGCTTTCATTCAATTATCCTTATATCTTTTCTACTACACTTCGCATTCATAATGGAATTCCTCAAGGTTCGCCACTTTCAGTTGTCCATTTGATGACATCAGCAGACATATATTGTGATATAAAACATTGCCTATATGCTAACGATCTTTACCTTATTTGCAAAAACAATAAAGGAGAATATATTGAAACATCCTTCAATAATACACTTATCGAAATTATCAGTTCGTTCTTTACTAGAGGTCTTCCTATTCCTCTGTTTCTAACATAGGGTACTGGAACTCAACTTCGTACCTAAAAAGGTGTGATTTTTCCATTGAAATACGCATGTTAGCGTGGTAAAGTTTTGTTAACATTTTTTCAATATCTCTATAACGATCCTCCTTATTACATGGGAACATGATTCCGTCATCAATAAACTTGACAGCATTTTCATATTTCGTCTGTAAGAACATTGTGTATTGCCCTTTGGAAAATTGCGGGCGCATTATTTAGTCGAAAGCGAAGTCTACAAAGTTCATACTTCTCATTATTTACTGGGATAACACAAGTATCCGGAATAGAATATCTTTCAGAAACTGTTTTGGCATTAAAATTTACTACCTTCCGTACCTTTTTTCCGGTTTCTCGTCCGTTCTCTCTTTTTCGACAAGAGCAAACTATTCCATTCCAATAAATTCCGAAGCTGCTATAGGGAAAGTGTAATCGGTTCCTCATCAACTGTTCTGATGGTGGCCATCACTTAAGTGCTAAATGGCAAATCTTTATCAGGATTTCCGAAAATTTTCGAAAGCTATTTAATATAAACTTAAACCTTTCTATATTCACTGGTTCTTTACTAGAATTTCTATATGCCATTATTTTATTTACGTTTTTACAATCATAACAATTTCGCTTTACCAACTCTTTCATGAAGGGTTCCTGTCTTAATGTCCAATTTCGCGTAAACTTCCTGCAAAGACTCAAACCCCATTGTCCCATCATAGGTTCTAAATTCTGAAAGAATGTAAAATGAAGCAGTTTTTCCGAAGACGTTAATTAAACACCTTTCATTTATCTCTGCAGTACAATGGACGGATTTAACTTTAAATGATTTTTCAATAGTTCTTACTCCTTTCAAGCTCTTTTTGGGCTTAATCAAGTTTTTCCCTCCCCGTTAAGAAGTAAGGAGCGTGACACATTGTCTCCAAAGTTTTGGACCGCCGTATTTTGGTAGACGATGATTAACCCTCTGGATTTTGACATGGCATATGATCAAAACTGTGGGACGCTATTAAAGTTCGTTGAAAATATGGCTAGGTTTTCCAATAGGTGTCAAGACCACTGGAGATATGTGGCATTCCATCACAACATGATCGATCTGATTGGGAGGTTTTGTTTCGATCTGAAGACAGCAAAATTTTTTAGAAATGTTTTGCGATAGAGGCTTTATATTCCGACAGTTTTTCTGAAGATATCTCCTTTGCTTACCTTACGTTAAAAACATGTATTTTGGAGAGACGTTTATTCAACGACTTAAATTCAAGGATTATGCTATGAAGTCTCTCACCTACCATTAACTTGGTACCAAACTGCCCTACAAGGACAGAAATCCTTGTGAATTTTACTACAGCGCCATATAAAGGAGTGCAAATTTTGTGTTGGACTCATGGTGGGAGCGACACTCCGTCACTGAGCACTGGCATAAACTCCAGTTGATGAACGTCTCGCCTCAATCCGCATACCGCTGACTTACGTCCACGCCCCAACGGAAGGGAAGGATGATTTGGCCACGAATGCCTTTTCTGAGCGCCTCAAGTACATTTATGAGCGCTGCCCTCGCCACGAAGTCAAATTTGTGCTTGGCGACTTCAACGGCAGGATGGGCAAAGACACCACAGACTGCCTACCTCTCAACCTTATGAACGCCAAACGCACGTGCGGGATGGGAAAGGTAGTGAGAGCTGAAGATCCTAACAAGACGCATTTGCAGGAGAAAATAGAGAGGCCGAAATCCGTGAGAAAGAGAAGTTACAGTGGCTTATGGAAGATTTCACGACCAGTGCAAGCTCTTGTGAGACCCAGAGGGTTGAGCTTGTGACGGATGCCCAAAGTATACTGAATCCACGGAGGAAACATTTTTCCAGGCTACTGATTGGCAATGTAGGGTGTTCACATCAGCTTCTTTGAAAAATATGATCGTATGAAAGCATGACTGATGATTGGAATGTTTGTATGCTCTGCCCAATTCACACAAATTATCGTGGGATATCCTCTCTAACTTCGCATATAAGTTCCTATCCAGCGCTTTGTATGAAAAGTTAAAGCCCACCGTGAACAAATCACGGTGAGAGAGTGGCAAATTGATTAGCACCTCTGTACCGAGAGAGTGGAAAAAATATCTGTATGGATAATTTTTTACAGCTCTGCTCTTTCCAAAACAATTGTTATCTTGAAACCTTACCAATGTTGGAACTATAAAAAATAATAAGCCATAGATATATTCCTGGTATCATGGCAGTAAACAAGTCACGAGCCAAATTTTCGATTTTTTAGTGGTTACAAAGCGTAAAATATATACAATACTATTATCGACAATACATTTGGATAAGTCGGCGGATGACGATGCAAAGAAGAAGCCTGATATCATCAGTTATTACAAAAAAATATTAAACTGGTTTTGACATTATAGACACAAATCAGCGTAATTATTCCGTTCAAGAAAAATCGCCATTGAATGTATCATAGGTCGTGAATTGGCAAGTGGCGTTTGCACAGGATAAAACAGGAAGAAAGAAAGGCACGAGATACTGTTTCTTAGGCTAAAAGATGACAATTTGAAGACGGAGAAAACACGCAAGCGTTGCAGCGAATGTGAACGGCTGGTTTGCGGAGAGAACACAGCGAACATTGTAAAATACATAGGTAGTAATAAATAATATTTTTTTATAAACAATAAAATTAATTTCCATCCCTAAACAAAATTAATTTCAAATTCATTCTGTATTATTATATTTATATACTATTGAAAGCTGCGAAGATAAATCTAAGCCAATCAAAAATATTAAAATATTGAATCATGATTTGTTTGCTTTTAAGCTAATTAACGT